ACCCTAATTTTGACAACCACCCTTGTAGGGTTTGGGCTAAGGATCTAATCGAAGCTTCGGGGTTCAGGGCCGAGGGCTTAGGGGGGCGCCTAGGGTTCAGGGCCATTCAGGGCCCTCCAGGCTCTCTGCAAGGACCAAGTCAAGTTAACCAAAATATCCCTGTAGGCCGGTTTAGGGTTTAAGGTTTGGGGTTTAGGGTTTAGGGCCGCTGACAATGCTCAAGTCTGAAACGTACTAAACACTCAAGAATTGGCTGGAATCGATGTTGTCGCCTCGGGAAAGTGACGTTTCCAGACGGCTCCAGACGTCCGACGGCGGAAGAACAATCCTGAGCTTGGTGTTTTAGGGCTTGGGTTTGGGAATTAGGGGCTGGTTTGGGGTTTCGGGCTCCCTAAACCCTAAACCCTAAACCGTGATTTAGATAGGGCTTGGTGTTTGCTGTGAGGTAGCGCTGCAGCAAGCCGCAGCGAAAGCTGGGCAACATGGATGTCTCGAGAACTTGGTGGTTCTGGCCGGGCATAGACGGCCATCCCAGACTTCACGCACGCACATGCATGCACAGAGGAGAGAGACAGAGAGAGAGAGAGAGAGCGAGAGAGAGAGCGAGAGAGAGAGAGAGAGAGCGCCATCTTAGGCGGTCAGACCACCAATCCTGCTCGTGGGGTTTCACGCATAGACTCACCCAGCATAGGAGCAGACTACAAGCATGTGTGAACAAAATGTTCTGAGGGCAGGGGGCAAAGGACAAAGGGCAGAGGCTTTCAGGTTATTAGGGGTCCTTCTGCGAGTACTGATTCCGTCTTGAAGTATGTGCGAAAAATACTTCGATATTCGGTTGAGGTATAGTGGCGGCATGAATCCTCATGAAAACTCAGCTCAGCATCTGCGAATAGGTGGTAAGAAAGGTGCCCCCATAGCACACGGGCACCAGTGTCTGATTCTCGATCCTTCTCGCGATGCCCATGGCTGTTGCCCACTCACCAAAGGATTTGAAGCTCGACGTGAAGGTCTGTTCGTCACGGGTTCTGTTCTTGCTTTCCCAGACTTTGTAAACAGTCGTACCATGCGCAAACTGCATGAGCGACTGGCTTATGTGATACAGGCTGTGCCCAGGCCATGAACGCCCACAAGCAAACTTCAGTCGTCCTGAGGCAACCTGTACCATCTTCTCAAACGCAACTGGGATGTCACCAATATTCCGAGCGGACATGTCATTGTCCTTAATGAACAGAATGAGATCGCTCTCATGCCGATCTGCAGGTATGCTTTTTCCGCGCTTCGCCAGCCAATGTGCGTAGGTATGGTCACAGCGCCCGATATTCTCCATGCGAACGATCTGAGCTGTTGCTGGGGCCCCCTCCACCGGATAGTTGCACTTGCTAAACACAGTCATGGTGGAGATGGGCCAGGTCACGAACTCTTGGATCCAACCGATGGGTCTGTCGCAGTGAGCAACTACCACGTCCAGGTGTGACGGTGCAGTGCCTGTGGTTGAGCTTAGGGGTTTGGGCTTCAAACTTAATTGGTGCAAGGACCTTATTCCTGAAGCCTCAACACGAAACCTCAATCCCACACCCGAAAAACGTCGGGTTCAGGGCTTTAGTTTTGAGTACATGTCATGTCCTGTGCTTTCTCAGCTTTGGTGCCTGTAGTCTCTGGCGTGGCACTCGCTTGACGAGGCTCGACGCCATCGAGACCAACCAGTAGACCTCAAGGTACATTTTACGGTTTAGGGTTTCGGGTTCAGGGTTTAGGGTTTGGGGTTTAGGGTTGAGGGTTTATGTGCGTCTTGAGAGCTTTAACGGGACCTTTCCAGGTGCCACACCCTTAAATTAGGGTGGAAGGCTTCAGTCTGGTGCTTGTAGTCCCTGGCGTGGCACTCTTTCGCGTTTCGAGAATAGGATTCTGAACCTTCCTCTCAACACCCTTTCACACACCACTTTAAGAGCCCTCGACCCGGCGAAGCCCAAAACTCTAACTTGCAATTCGCCGACTCAGCCCTTAAAACTTCACCGAAACCCTATAACCTCTCAACCTTAACCCCCTCAACCCTAACCCCTAAACCCGAAGAAACCCCTCAATCCTAATGCCTAAACCCCTACAGTACACCCTAAACAGGCCCTCCTAAACCCCTCAACCCTAAACCCCTGAACTTTCACCCTTCAACCCAAAACCCTCCTTTCCGCCACCCAGAAGCAGCAGTTGAACCCGAGGCAGAAGCAAGCCAGCGTGAAGACCCATGGCTTAAAGGACATCGCGGCTGTGGGTTCAGGCTTTTGGATTTAGGCTTTGGGTTTGTTTAAGGTTTTGGGTTTAAGGCTTAGGGTGTAGGGTTTAGGGTGTAGGGTTTAGGGTGTAGGGCTTAGGATGTAGGGTTTAGGATTCAGGAAAAGCTCGGTGTATGGGGTTGAGTTCTGGATTAGAAAACTTCGAGGTATGGGTTAGGATACCTGAAGTTGAAGCCTTTCGGGTTTGGGAGATACTGGTAGGGTCTGCGCTAGAGATGGTTTTTGGGTTGGTGAAGCTCGTGCAGAAGCAGGCCCACGCAGAGAGTGGGACCCCTCCCTGCAAAAGAAACCCTCA